AAGGTAAAGTACAAAATTATGAAGTTAATAACAAAATGTTAGGGAGGCATGTTTTCCAAAATGTCTTCATCTGGTTATTGACGCCCTTGACCGGTTATAGTCAGTTAACCATAAAACATCCCCAATACACACACATGCACAGACCTTTGCCCCTGCTCTATAAACAATACAAACGCTTTTCCCATCTACACTTTTTAACATGATTATGACTCACAACCAAAGTCCCACACTTGTTACAACATTTATAAACAAGCTCATTCTGGAGGCCCACTTAAAAAAACACAAGTTTCATTACATTGAACTAAATAATTACATGGACATTTCTTTATATTACTAAACAAGTTACTCTTGGGAGGCAGATGCAAAATAGCTGTCACGGAGCAGGAGCGTCATGGCAGACTGACCTGCTGCACGGCTTAATTTCCATGTTCTGCCAGGCTACGCGCTCCGATGTGGGGCTCATTCTGTCCGCTACCAAAAGTAAAATGCTCCCACGCTCTGCTCTATCTTGACCACTTCGTCTTTGTGTAAATGTACTTGATTCATGTGAGTGGCAAGCTCACTTCTTCTGTGGTTTTTGAGTCAACAGTGCTCTCCCGCCCTCTAGTGGTGCAACGTATATTGTATTAGTTGCTGAGGGGAATTTACTTCCTGTTTCCCAGTGGTCTGGCTAAACCGTGAGCGAGAGGGAAGTGTCTGTTCTTGAGCTGACTTGTGAATGCTTATGAAAACTGTTCTGCTGTTCAATACTGCTGTCATTACTGACTCAACTCATTTAACTGTTACAATAATACACACAAGCGCGGTTGAAGGACTAGAACAGCAATTAACCAGGCAATGCTGTTGTAACTGCTTATGGCCTTTATGGCAGTTTACTGGTTAGCCATGTACATCCCCACAAAGTCATTTTGGTTTGTTATAAAAGATGCAAAAATTATTTTAAAATAAATGTTTCCTTTGTACTGCTCAATGTAGGTCTGACAATAACTGTTGATTCACATCTTTTATAAATGCAAATGGGGGCTGCACAAAACCACTCCGAGGGCCACAGATGGCCCCCAGGTGACACTTTGGAGGCGCTTGACTTATAGCAACATCTTCATCTAACTCATGTGTGCCTAACCCTGGTTGTCAAGATGTCTTATCCGGCATGTTTTCTATGGTCAACTGTTAATCACCAGTGTGTTGAACCGGAAAACATCTAGAAGATGCTGGATAGGGGTTCTCTAGGACTACCCCATCTAATAAACTCATTCACTGGGTTTTTAGCAATCATTAAAAAGTCAATATTTGTCCAGGATCGTTTCACCCCAGCTCCATCCCAATAATAACTACATTGTAGCCATTTTTGTTATAATCTTCTCATAAGAATTAATGCAAATTTTGCTTCATTGATAGCGAGAGCACCTTGCAGCAACAACTGTCTAGCAACGTTTATGATGAGAGACTGAGGTCAGCTTCTGTTTGGTGGTCCCTAGAATGGGCGGAGCTTGTTATAGATGCTATGTTGGTGTAGCCCACCTACGGAGAGAAAATAGAAGTGGATGATTTCATCGTCCATTTTCTACCAGAAGCTAATGCAGGAGAAAGATGTAGAAGACTATTTTCATGTTCAGCCTGCATGAAAAACTGATTATAATCAGAAATAATCATTAAAAAAGGATTTTTCAGTGATTCACACCTTTAATATATATTTTAGGAAATATTAGACCTCGTTTGGTGGATCGTCACACAATTTCCTTTTGTCATTCATTGTTCTCACCTCAGCTGTTGCCAGAGCTGCAGTTTCTAAGTGTTTTTGGTCAGCTGTTGGTTTTCAATTAACTCAAAAATACGGAATTGTATTATTTTGCCATAAAGATGAAAATGATCTACCTTTGGTGATTCAACGTGTTCTGAATAAGAAAACTAATTTCCTGAACCAATACTAACAAAAACAGCTGCATAGCTTAAATTTGTCAAATTATGTCCGTTCGTCTTTTCATGCTGAGACCGTTTGTTCTGTAGCTTTACAGAAATAAGGTGGGAACAATCTTTTTAGCCATTATGTTGGCAGAATTAGTGAATGTGTACTGAAATTACAGCTAACAAGAAACTATTTTCTGCAAATCTGTTTTTGTGAGACCGAATGGAGAGTCCAGATTTAGTCTGCTGGTGTGAGGCACAAAGTGCCTTTCCTGATCTGGACAGGTTTCATTGTGTCGAGGTGTGGAGTCTAAATTCGGAACGCGTTGCATCAAGACCCTCCTGTCTCACTTCTGTTTCTCTTTCCTGTCTGCCTCTCTCTGGTCTGTGAGACAGTTTGTTGCAATTTAGTTAGATTTTTCTTATTCAAGTCCAAATTTGGGCATGTTCACTTTTAACTAAACACACAGGCCCTAAAAATGTTAGATGAGTTGAAACTTCTGGTAAAATATTGTTATTTCAATTTATCAGTAGAAAGGCAGCTGTTGTTGTTCCTAGACATTTGCTGATGAGACTTTTTATTTACTTAGATTAGAGTACTGGATTAAAATGTACTGTATTAATGTAATTAAAAACATGGTGTGCATATTTTTGTGCATGAAAATGATGCATGCAGTCGTCAGCAGTCTGGTACTCTAGCTTGATTTAGGCCATCTCACATAAAGACTGCAGAGTCGTCACATCATTGAAGATGTTGAAAACGAGGAGAATCCAGGGAAATTAGGCTGAATGGTCAGATATTGATGCTGAAGTATCTGAGATTGAAGTTAGCTAATAGGTTAAAGGTCAACTTCATCTCAGAAGAACAAAGGCATTGATTTGGGATTAATGTGTTTGTAGATAGGTCTATCTCTGACTTAGAGATTCTAATAAGGGTTCCACCATTAGATAGGAATAGTGCAATAATAATATGTAATATAATATGTTAAAGGGATACGTTTTCATATTTTTAAATCACTTTCTTGAGCCAGTATGTGTTCAAATGACCCTTTACAGGGTTAATGAAATGTCACTGAGACCCCCGCCACCTTCTGTGGCCAGAATGCCGCACTTGCAACTTCAGAATTGCTGGGCCGGTCTGTTGGACTTGAAAAAATGGATCTTACATACCTGGTGTTGAAGTCAGGTTCCAGCACGTTTTCTGCATGTTTTAGATCATGAACACAGCTCATTGCTTAGAGTTAGTGATGAATCACTCCTGTAGACACTAATGAAGGCTGGGAGACATTTCAGCTTTCAGGTGAAGGTGTTAAAAAGACGAGCGGTTCTACTAAACGGACACCAGTAAAAAATTCATGTGGAAATAAATAAGAAAAATTCAACATATACTACATTATTGCCACATTTATTGATTTTGTAATTTGTTCCTTAATTTCCTGGTTGATCGGTTGTTTGGTATAAATTTTGGGGTATTTGACTTATAAACCTGCATATTTTATGTTCATCGTGACCACTAATAACCGTTTTTATGGCTTTTTTATTGTTTATTCACACAATATTTACTATTTATTACATTATCTATAAAGTATTCACCTCACCATTTGTTTCCATTTTAGATTTTTTCATATAAACCAGAAATTTAAATACGTTTATTAAACCATGCTGTTATATTTATTTGTCTGTTTCTTGTTTTTTAAGTGACCAAAGTAGGTTTTTCTAATTTCATCAGTAGGTTAACATCTGTGACTCATCTTAGAGTGGTACACAGCATCTACTGCTGCATGATTCTGATCTGTCTTTATTATTGGCAGGGTTTAGTGTGTTATGTCTTGGAAGTGAAGGTGGGTTGACGTACTTTAAACTATGACCTGTATTCTCCCTGTAGCTCTGGGCTAAATCAAGTCATTGTTCCAATACATTATGACTGAATCCTGACCTGCTTCCATTAGTTGCTTGTTTCTCCCGGTCTTTCTCTTCTCCACTGACTCTGTTCCAGATGACTAATGTGACATTTCGAAATAAAACTCAGCAGTGGCGCACACACACACACACACACACACACACACACTGAATGCTGGTGGCCTGTGGTTAGCAGACTGGCGTTATAAAATATTTACAGGCCCTCCATCCTCCTGAAACCACCAGTGTCACCCACTGCTGTGATCTCAGAAGGGAAACTGTTGCTGGGCTTTCTGTCACAGATTAGAAGTTTGCTTAGTAATTAAATTAGGTTATTAGTAATGTGTTTCTTGATAAGCAGAAATTCATTACACAAAAACATTTATCTCATCAATTTGATCAGAGAAGTTTGCTATTACTTTGGTTCAGAGGAGTTTTGCACACCTTCTGAGCTGTACTACAGAGTAGGGCTGGGCAATAAATCGAAAATTTATCATTATCAAAATTTCTGACTCTTATCGAGATAATTTTCCCAGGTCAAGAGATTTCATAATAAAAAAAGGAAGAGATGTGTAGGTTGGCAACATTCATGTCCCTTTAAGAAGCTGTATCACGTTGAGTCACGTAAAAATGCGACTTCAGATTATACACGTGACAGCCCCATCTAGTGGACAACTTTTGTCTCTGTGCATACCTGTAGTTATCGTCCATTTATCGTTATTGAGGTGAAATCCTCAATATATTGGGATATTAATTTTAGGCCATATCGCCCAGACCTACTGCAGAGTGAAAACTGCAACATTTGCTCTCCTTTTAGACCAGCCAGACTTTGACTTTTACAGCTGCACTCAAGGACCGTGTACTACCACTGACTTTATGTAACGTGACCTCAGTCTGACTCTTCAGATGTTAAAATCTCAACACTGAGAAAAATGCAGCTGAAGTAATTTCACAGGAAAATGGCTCTTTCTATGTTAATTATGCTGCTGATCGCTGACTTGTAAAACAAAAACCTAATGTGTGCTGAAGCAAGCTGTAAAATGTGTAATAGTGATATATTGATTATATTATGTGGGTCATATTGTACTAACATTTCTGTCACAGAGAAGCAGGTATGTCTGAAACCACTGCAGCATGATGGTCCACTGGTTTCCAGTAAGCAGATTCTGATCAGCACGTCATGCTTTGTCTTTCAGGTTTCGACCGAGGAAAGGAAGACCTTTTGTCTCTGCCCTTGAAGGAGGACTCAAATTCCATATCTAAGAGCAAGGTGAGAGAAGTCCCTGCTGTCATTTGATCTTTAGTCATCGTTAGAAAGCAACTACTGGGTCTTTGAGGGTGTTGGAGCAGAAACAATGCCACAAGTGACCCAAATCACAAATCTAAGACTGTTGGATGTGATGCTTCATTACACTAAATACTTTTCCCACTTCTCTGTCCTACTGGTTGAAAGCTGAATTACAACTGTCGTAAATAACCCTGCCACGGCCTGTTTTAGCTAACACTAGCCAACTTATAGTTAATAAGCCACGAAGTAAAAAGTTGCACATTGTTGGACAAAAAATATTATTACTTAAAAGTCAGGCACACTGAATTGCCTCTGTGTAAGAAATGTGCTATGTAATGGCGCTTACACATTAGCGTCGGCACTGCCTCAAAAGGTGTCGAACGGCACCTGATCGAACGGCACCTGATTTTGGTTTCACACACAGGTCAGATTTCCATTTTCTGTGCCGAGGCGACTCTTTTTCTCAGACCTTCTCCCCAGCGGTCAGACTGGGACTGAGACAACACTAAGGACTGATTGGCCGGCTGCCCCCATGCACGATTCATTTTCACGCTGGATGATGTTGAGTAAACTTCTGTCTGTGGCACGGAGCTGTTGATCAGTGCCCCTTGGATTTATATGTGAACCCTACCCTGCCCGTTCTAGACCAAACTCACACCATCCAGCCCGACCAAAGCCCAACCGTGCCGACGCTAATGTGTAAGCGCCATTAGTAAAGCTGCCTTGCCTTGCCTTGTACCAACAAAGCTAGGTCCCCATCAGTCTGTTATTGTAGGCCATGCCAATGGTCCCTCTGGTTTTAGTTCTTCGCTTCACCACCAAAGACATTACTCCACCATGATGCCAACAAAAATAGGTAGAGAGCTCCCACTAGTGTTCCTGCCAGAACCACAAAGCTGCCAAGTGCTGTTTTTGGTCAGCAGAGGGCTGCAGTGTGCTGTCCATTGTGAAGTTGATCAAGTTTCTTCCTCAAGAATCACTGAAACCTTAGCTGAAACCTAGCTTAAAATGTTAAGACTCTTCAGTGTTGCTTTAAACAGGGTACTTTAGGGCCACATCATATATTCATCAAACACAATGTTAATTCATAACTCCTTTAAATAAACTCCACAGAGACATGTTGAGTTTAGTTGATTTGTTTCCATATCTGATATGGATTTTTAAGATATCTTATGTGTGGACCCAAATTCTGAGTATTGTTCAGATTCTGCTGTCGCTCTACTTTAATTAGAAGCAGATTTGAACACATCAGCTCGATGCTAATATACCTATGGTCTTTGTTACACTTGATAAAAGCCAGCTTTAAGGATGTTTAAGTAGATTCTCATAACTGTATCATTTGTTGTGGAATGTTAATCATTCAGATAAAAGGACAGACAACATTTAAGCATTTGGAGGATCCTACTATTGATGGGATTCCAGTGGAGCATGTCTGACTGGGACCAACTTGGCTACTGCTAAAGGTGTGGTGCTATTAATAAACCACATCCTCAGAGATAAACTTGTTTTTGTTTACTGTGTCTTAAGTCTGAAACCAAGCTGTACAATGGCTCAGATAAGGATGTGTCTGTGTCTGCGTCTGGAGGAAAGCTCACCAAGAAGGAGTCCCTCAAGGTAAGTGAGCCTTAAAGCAGCTTAAGTCCTCCACATCCGGATGCTAATTCTCAGGGCGGGCATAAGGAGCCATAAAAATACTCTTTCCTCTTGACTGCTTAATCACAAACGCATTGATGTTTTGGCTTGTTTGTTTTTATTGGACCCAACATGATAAAAACAGTGCAGTACTGTCATTAGAGCACAACATAAACAAGACAGATTTCCGTTTAAAGGTAAACAAAATGCAAACGACTCCTCACAGGACAACCAGAAGGTGCCATTATGACAGAGACACTGAGGAATGTGATTTCACAGAAAACAGAGAGAAACCAGTGGAAAATGAGCAGTCGCAGTTGTGCAGATGATTGCATCATTCATCCTCCTGTTCTCCCTGCAGGTGCAGAAGAAGAACTACCGGGAAGAGAAGAAGAGAGCCACTAAGGAGCTGCTTAGCACCATCACAGATCCGTCTGTCATTGTCATGGCCGACTGGCTGAAGGTTGGACAACCCACCTCCATCCCTCGTCCTGCTCTAACTGTCTGAATCCATCGCTTCAGAAAATGCAGTGATTTAGATTTTTTGTTCAGATCAGATCAGCAAATACATTTCTAAGTAATTGAAGATTCTGATTAAACACCAAATACAGTTTTCAAATGGAATCTCTTATCTTATTTAGGTCTTTCATGAAAAACTCTCCAATATGGCTGAAATTAAACAATAATGTCAAAAAGAGTAGGACTAAATTCCTCCACATTGATGTGAGAAACTCTAAAGGTGTCAAGGTGTATGGACCTAGGATTGGGACAATATTACATGTAACTAGCTCCAAGTTTTGTAACATGTTTTGTAACTGTAACTTTCCTTTTGTAATTTGCTGGGGGGAAAAAAATCAATGTGCAAGTTTCTAATCACAACTCCTAAAACACACATCTCAGTCTGCAGTTCCAAAACTCAAGTCTATAGTTAGTACAAATTACGTGTAATATTGTCCTAATTTTAACTCCATAGATATCTGGTTCAATTACTTTTCAGAATGTAAAAACTGCTTATTTTCTTCACAGTTCTGTATTTTTTTAAGTTTAAGCTTTCATGGTACTTTTCTGAAATCCTGTCTCCAGATTCGTGGTACTCTAAAAAGTTGGACCAAGCTGTGGTGTGTGCTGAAACCAGGTGTCCTCCTCATCTACAAGACTCACAAAAACGGGCAGTGGGTGGGAACGGTGCTGCTCAACGCCTGCGAGCTAATCGAGAGGCCTTCCAAGAAGGATGGCTTTTGTTTCAAACTCTTCCACCCTCTGGAGCAGTCCATCTGGGCTGTGAAGGTCAGGAGATCCATTTAAATATAGATATGTCCCACTGAAACCCCACAGAAAGTGCTACAGAAAACCTCTGTATACCGTCATGTAAGATAAGTTAAATTTGTGCAATTATTAAAATGTTGTACGTGACTTTTGTTTTCTACTTATGAAATTTTCTGATTTTCAATAATTGCAGAGACAAGAAGAAAAATAAACACTAAGTAAACTGATATTCAATCAGATAAATCTACATTTAGCCTCTTTTGTCCTTTAGAGGACATGCAACCCGGTAATCAAGAGGCAGGGCCTAAAACTGAAAGTATGATGACCCAGGTGTGGATATTAACTCATAATTAGAAGCATATATTAATGTAACTTACAAAGAACATGATCCATTTTCTATTCAGTCGACTGAATGATGAATTTGTTCTTCGTATCCAGCTCTCAACAGTCCACTTCAGCTGTGATTAAGTTATTCATCAGTGATGTCACGAGTGTGGGTGCGTTTGTTTCTGTTAAATGAAGGAGCCATGCAGCTTTTCTGTTCCCCATCATCATCGCAATAATAAGCTCCTCACTCATTCCACAGATGTTCACGCTGTCCCTATTAAACATATGCTAATAGTAATTGTGACACCATATTGTCAGTTTAGTATAAACAAACGAATTAGAATACGTACAAACTTTTATTAGTGACTATTAGTAACAGGCTTCCCGTCCTCTCTTCTTGTCTTTAGGGTCCCAAAGGAGAGGCGGTGGGCTCCATCACACAGCCGTTACCCAGTAGCCACCTCATCTTTCGCGCTGCCTCTGAATCCGATGGTAGGAGACACGTGGTCCTTTATCTGTTTCTATAATTCAGCTAATCTGAAACAAAGCAGTGCTCAAGTTAGCTTACTACGTAAACCAGGTCTGGATGATAAGTCCATATCATAGATGAATTCAAATTTGCTATTTATGTAGATTAGAATTTTTTTTAAAATCTGGATTACATTTCCCCCACTCATTTGCCAACATGACTTGCATAACACCTGCAGGGTTTACCCCAACACCCTTTGACTGAGGCGGTCTGCCTGAATGGCTTTTGGAGTTGCATTGATGGAGACATTTTCTCTGCAGACTTCCCTGTCACCTGGGGTGTTGCAAAGCAATTCCCTGCCAGGACAACAGAGAGTGTAGTAGTGCTCTTCTGTGGTATTCCTCCCCCCTTACAGTCACGTATGCAGTCCAAGATCAGACTCAGAGGGTGTTATTGCCATATGTGTGTGTATAGGAAGTAAGAATCTAATCATGGTAAAATAATATAAAGTGGCGATACTTAGAGAAACGGCTAATGTGTAGGTAATCAGAGCGGACCAGTTCAGGTACAAACACAACACAGGATCATTTGACTGAAGCCAAGGGACTGGAGTGGGGAGCCTCGTTCATGAGTCCAACAGCAGAGGGGAAGAAATTGTTCTTAGGGCAAGATATTCTGGTCCGAATGGATCGGAGCCTCCTGCCAGATGGGAGCGAGTCAAAAAGACTGTGTCCAGGGTGACACGAGTCAGCTGTTATTTGACCTGCAGGTCTCAATGTCCTGGAGGTGTACAGGTCCTGTATGGAGGGGAGTTTGCAGCCAATGACCTTCTCAGCAGAGCGTATGACACGCTGCAACATTTTCTTGTCCCGGATGGTGGCTTCAGCGTACCACACGGTGATTGAGATCTGATCTCCTGACTCTGTGAATTCTCTGTCCATGGTGCTGAAATGTACAATAAATGATAATTGACCCGCACTTGTATAGCGCCTCTCAGAGTAAGGACTCCAAAGCGCTTTACACTACAGTGTATCATTCATCCATTCACACACACATTCACACACTGATGGTGATGAGCTACAATGTAGCCACAGCTGCCCTGAGGCGCACTGACAGAGGTGATCTCCTGACTCAGAGAATTCTCTGTCCATGGTGCTGAATCTTCAGATCTGATCTCCTGACTCTGTGAACTTTCTGTCCATGGTGCTGTAACATCCAGTAAAATTAGATATCATTTACATATTTTTTTTCTATCACAGAGTCTTTTCTTTTCAAACATTTAAAAAGTTTTATTCTGGAAAATATCATCTGGAAAAAGTTCTAATTCTTTTGCAAAGTAACTAATGAAATGTTCGGATGTGAAAGGATGTTTTCTGTGGATTATTAAAATGGTTTCTTCAGGCCGGTGCTGGATGGACGCCTTGGAGCTGGCCCTGAAGTGTTCCAGCCTGCTGAAGAGGACCATGATTCGTGAGGGGAAGGAGGACATGAGTACTGTCTCTGCTGGTGGAGAACACTCCATTAACTTCTACAGCCTCCTCAGAGCTCACAATCTGCATGGTTTTCAGTGAGTAGAGTTAAGTTTGTACTGTAGCTTCAGGTAGTCTCCACTGGAGGGATGATTTTTTATAAGAAACCCTACTAAAAATACATTAATTCCAAACAATTTGCATTTTCCTAAACATACACCTAAACATTTACTTTTTTAAATATGTTTATTCCTGATATGTCAGTTCTATGTAATTTTATTTTCCCCTACGCTCTTACGCTGTTGTCCCTCTATCTTTGCTTGTACATATATTGTTTGCACATACATTCTAGATCCTTCTAAATTAGTTTGTGTAGAATGTTGTGGTCTATGGGGCAGCTCAGGGTTACATTTCACTGGAAGTTGTACTTGTATGATAGAGCATGTGGCAAATAACCCTTTTGAACCTTGAATCTTCCATTTCCAGTCTGATACAGCGCTTTTTAAATGTTTTAATTTTTTTGTCTTAATTAAAAATAAGCAACATCTTTAAATGTGTTCAGTAGGAATGTTTGTTTTGTAAACTGCCTTTAGATGACTTGTGCAATGAATTGGTGCTATATAGATAAAGTGAACTGAATTAAATATGAGGGTGTTTTCCTTTCTCTGAGATTAAAAACGTTGCTTTTGTTTGTTTCTGCTCTGGTCTGAGCTGCAGGTTGGATCAGGAAACTTGACTTATGATGGGAGGTGTTGCTGTTTCACATTCAGCAGCCATTTCTTATGGATGGTTGTTGGGAATGCTGGATGAGTGGATTAGACTGCAGTCTACTGGAACAGAGTGGAATAAGCATGCCTGAGAATTGTTGTTTTTATTTGAAAACGTTGGTAAAAATCCTAGTTTATGCTTTTGTTTCCGTCTCGTAAGAGAGTGGAGCTGTAAAAGTAGAGGTTCCTGTTGCCTGTTGGAGCACCAAGCTGAGGCTTCATAGATCAGGGCTCTAGTGTGCTACTCCCTTTCATCTTGTCAGATGTTTTCAGATGGGTTTCTGTGTTACTTTTAGGAACAATTCTCATCTCATTTGTTGTAGATAACTTTTCTAACAGCTTCAGTTTGGATAAATACATTTTATTTCCGGCCAGATCGACAAGCTAACAGCTAGCCACACTGTGGCAAGTTGTGAAGTTGATTTCTTATATATAAAATGTTCATGTGGAGGCTTTACTTGTTTCACCATTTTAAACTTTTATAGTGTATTTTATAATAAACTTTAAGACATTTTAGATGCATCTTTAAATCACACCAAATGATTGATGATTGTACTTTGTAGACTTCTGCTCATCTGTTACAGAATCTGTCTGCTTCCTTCAGGTTTAGCGACGGTGACCACTTGAAGGATGTGGACTTGTACTCAGACAAATCCGACAGGGAAGGAGAACCAGACCACGAGGAATCCGACCCAGAGAATCTGGAGAAGAGCGAGGAGAGCGACAGCGATACGTCTGAGCGCCAGGAAGACTCGTACCTCGATCTGGACCCCAATGAACATCTGTGTGAAACGTCCTACGTGGAGCAGTCCCACGAGGAGTTAGGGGAGGTATGGAACGCTCATCATCCATCAATGCAACGTATAAACGTAGCAGGTTCTTCTTCTGTGGCTCTTCATGCATTAACATGACGGTCTGTGTGGTTTGGTGTGTGTGGGCATCTCCAAAAGAGTGTGATAATGAGTCGACAAGCATGAACGTGTTAATGGCTGTCAGTTCACTCATGAAACCTGGCAAAGAACCAGCCTAAGGAAGTCTGCTGCTACTTCCTGTGTGAATGATTGTGTGGAGATGGAGTTTGGCTGCAACTCAAGCTACATCCAACAAGAACTCCCTCATCTCTTCTGTGTCACGTCTGCGTCTTCAGGCGGGCGAGGCCGCTCAGACAGAAACGGTCTCGGAGGAGAATAAATCTCTCATTTGGACTCTGCTGAAGCAAGTTCGACCTGGAATGGATCTGTCCAAGGTTGTGCTGCCCACCTTCATCCTGGAGCCCAGGTCCTTCCTGGACAAGCTATCTGACTACTACTACCATGCAGACTTCCTGTCAGAGTAAGACCTGTCTGCTTTAGACCAACATCTGTTTTCATTCACTACAGGAACACTTTGACAATTATTCACCGTCATCTTGACAGAAACTCAGCTAAAACTCTGTGATAGCCTGTTGTGATCACACATTCCAGCTATTAGACCTCACAGACAAAAGCTGTTCTTTTCCTTTTTCTTTATGTAATCAACTGAATTCCCTGGAAATGGTAACAGATTAAACACCAATGTATCAGTTATTATTTTACACATATTTAATATCTAAACGAACATCAGATAATCTGATCAGTGAGTCATGGTGTTTGTTTTGCCTGAAGATTAGATGATGGGATGATTCTTGATGAAATCAGGACCCCTGATCTCTCTTTGAACAACTCCCTGGTTGGTTAATTCTCTCTCAGAGCTGCAGTTGAAGAAAACGCCTACAACCGGATGAAAAAGGTGGTGAAGTGGTACATTTCTGGATTTTACAAAAAGCCAAAGGTCAGTTTAGCTCACTTCCTTGGGTTGTTCTTAGGTGGTTTTATGTTTTGCGTAAAGTTCTCCTAAATCATTCTGATGGTTGTTAATCCACAGGGATTAAAGAAGCCCTATAATCCTATCATTGGAGAGACGTTCCGGTGTGTGTGGCTCCACGGGAAGACCAACAGCAAGACGTTTTACATTGCAGAGCAGGTAATTGCAGCGAAGCTCCTGAAAGGAGTCTGAGTGTGTTTTTGTAACGAACACATGCCAGCTGCTTACAGCAGCGCTATAGAGAGCCTAAACAATTTAGAGTTAGGGGGAGAGGTCATTTTGTCAAAACAACTCTGAAAAGTTAGTTTAGCAGATTTAAGACATACAAGAATAAATGATATTAATTTAGTTTTGTGTCTTTGTGAGCTACAAAATCAAACCTTTCAATATTAAAGTCTTAAATGTACCTGGAAAAAATGTCTTTTGAGATTGTTAAATCATGTATTTGCAAGGAAACTGGCAAAAATTACGATTTTAAGTGGAAATTTAAATGAAAATTCACAAAAATCTTGTACAAGTAGCAAAAAAAGTTTGACTGATGGCAGTCACAGTATTGTGGAAATCATAACTTATTGGATTTTTTCATATATATATATATATATATACATATACATATATATATATATATATATATATATATATGTATATATACAGCATATATATATATATATATATATATATATATATATATATATGCTGTATTTATGCTGTCAGGGTGATGATGACATAACTCACCTCTCTTCAGGTTTCTCATCATCCACCAGTGTCGGCCTTCTACGTCAGCAACAGAAAGGATGGGTTCTGCCTCAGTGGCAGCATCCTCGCCAAGTCAAAGTTTTATGGTAAAGAAATAAAACATCTACATTAATCAGGAAGGTTCACGATCTTTGTCAGCTGAAAAAAGACTGTCTTTAGGAAACTCCCTGTCTGCCATACTGGATGGAGAAGCTCGCCTCACTTTTCTGAACCGAGGGGAGGACTATGTGATGAACATGCCCTACGCTCACTGTAAAGGTCAGAGTTCACCCCTTTTTCCTCTCCTGCTGCTGCTGTGTTACTGGAGACCTTATAAGGAGCTGTCCTAATCTTAGACTTGGTAGAAAAATTGTGAAGAAATAAAATATTTGTACTTGATTTGTAACTTTAGTTACATTTCAGGAACCAAACCTCTCTCCAGGGCCTGCTGTAGGGTCTTCTTGGGAATCTGAACCAGAATCCCTTCTATTTCCACCTTAGGAACACTTTTTAGAAATGTATTATTTATGCCTCGTTTTCTCATATACTGAGTTAATGTTTTTAAAGGGGTGGTTCAGTGAAAAAACATTTTTTTTCATTATTATTTCCAATTACAATCGGTCACTGTGAGTTTGTCATGCAGGCTGAACATGAAAATAGTCTCCTACACCTATCTCCTGCATTAGCTTCTGATAGAAAATAGGTGGTGAAACTCTAGGATTTGAAAAGCCACACAGCTCTATGGCACGGTGTCGCTTAACATTGATGGACTCACCCATCTTGACATGTGATGGGCTGTTGTTGGTTTAGCGTCAAGAAAAGGAGAACGTCTCGGCTAATAGAAGCTAACTGTTAGCATTAGCAACTTCACCACACAGCAAAAACCAGACCTTTTCATTGGGGAAACTAAACAACTACGCAAGAGCATGGCACAACACAGCAGAGCCACCTCTTCAGGTCAAGACTCTGCAGTCCACCTACACCTGAAGGACAAGGGACACACTTTTGAAGATGACAAAGTACACATTCTGGACAAAGAAGATTTAGAAGAAGAAGGTTTAGAGAGGACTAAAGGAAACCAGCTATGTCAAAAGTGAAATGCCTACATTAAATAGGGGAGGTGGACACAAGTAGGTCACACCGTCAAATCAAAATAAAATCAAATCAACTTTATTTATGTAGCACTTTTCATACCAAAAATGCAACTCAAAGTGCTTCACAGATTAAAATGGCCCCATAGATCCCACATTCCCATCCCAGCCCCCCTCCCCAATTATAAAACAATTAAAAATTACAGTTCCCCTCCCGCACCCACCTTCCAAAGTGGACATACAATCACCCGCACACTCGTCCATGCACACACACACACACACACACACGCACACACACACACTCGTGAACACCAGAGGAAACAATAGGCTGAGTTCAGATGGGTCAGGTAATGAACGACACATCATCAGCGGAGCCATCTGCCCTGGCAGCAACAGATCCACGGCAGCAGCCAAGACACCGGCCCATGACGCCCAGTGGCGTACGGCAGAAACCCCCACCAGTGCCCGGGCACTACCCGGGGAGCGCCCTGGCCGCCGCCCCTGACCACCGGCCCCAAGGCAGAGGGCTCCGCAGGGGAAACACTGGAGGATTTAAGATATATAACATATAAAATAATAAAAGCTAATAATGATAAAAAGTAACTGATAAAAAGTGATTATAAAGATAGTAAAAGAAAACATAATCATGTAAAAACACTAAGATGTAGATAAAATGATAAAAATAATAAAAGAGATAAATATGTATTTATAGATAAATAGTAATCAGTTAAAAGCTAAGCTAAAAAGGTGGGTCTTGAGCCTATTCTTAAAAGCCTGGATGTTTCCTTCGGACCTGAGGTCCTCCGGCAGCCCGTTCCAAAGGCGAGGGCCGTAATACTTGAAGGACGCCTCGCCGTGGGTGTGAGTCTTAACTTTAGGGATAACTAGGAGACGGCTGCCAGAGGAGCGCAGAGACCGCGAGGGTTTATACAGTAAAAGCAGTTCTGAAAGATAAGAAGGCCCAAGACCATTAAGACACTTAAAAACCATTAAAATAACCTTAAAATCAATCCTGAAACATACGGGGAGCCAGTGCAGTGATTTTAAAACCGGAGTGATGTGCTCCCGCTTCCTGGTCTTCATCAGGACACGTGCTGCTGAGTTTTGTAAAAGTTGTAAACCTGAGATGCTTTTTTTGGGAAGACCAGAAAGCAGGGCATTGCAGTAATCAATTCTACTGGTCCTGCATCTAATCAATATGACTCCCACACAATAGAGGCTAACAACTCATTGGGGGTAAGGAGGAGGGGTATTCATAGGTATTTTCTGCTCGTTAAACATTAGACAGCTACAGTTTATAAGGTTGCCCCTGCCTATTTCTAATCAGAATTGACAAAGCTTCTCGGATGAGAAGTGAAACGTCTTCAAGAAACCAAAGAAGTCCAGTTGACTTCATTAGAACCCCTTTGGATTGTTGACTGACATTAGTGTTTTACCCATCAGGTATACTTTATGGGACCATGACCCTGGAGCTGGGGGGGCAGATCACTATAGCCTGCGAGAAAACAGGCTACAGTTCTCAGCTGGAGTTCAAACTGAAGGTATGGCTGTGTTTTTATCTCCAGGTCAGGGAAACCTAATAGCCAGTTAGGGGTAGAGTCCGAGTACATCAGCTTTAACACTTCTGACATGTGAAAACTTTGGAGTTATTTCACCTATTTACTGAATGTCTCACTTTCCCAACAACCCCACCATTCCTCTCCTCTGCCCTTCTTCAAAAACCCATTTCTAACTCATCATCACCTCCTTAATCACTCTATGAACTAGCGACAGGTATGACTAGAATAACACAAACATCCAAAATGCAGAATGTGTTCTGCTGGCATTAGTTACCAAGTTTAAATCCAATTAACATCCAAACCAACTTTGCCCAGTGTGAAAAAAGAATTGACCCCTAATCCTAATAACCAGCTGTCACACAGTTGGAGGCAAAAGCTGAACAAGTTTCCAGCACCACTGTGGAGGGGGTTCGTCCCATTGTTCTGTACCGAGTAGTTTAGATTCAGCCACATTGGAGGGTTTTCCAGCATAAATGACCTGTTTGAGGTCAAAGGTCTGACATTCTCTTCTAGGTTATTCTACTAGTGATTCATTGTTCCGTATGTTATAAAGCAGCCTCAGACCATCACACCTCCACCACCATGTCTGACTGTTGTGTTATTATTAGACCGGATGGAACGAAACACACCTTCCAGCAGGTTCCAGTTTTGTCTTGTCAGTCTGCTGAATATTTTCACTGAGATCAAGATGCTTTCTGGCAAATGTGAGATGGGCCTTTGTGGGGCTTTTGTTTTTAGTTTCTTTGGTGCAGAGCCTGAGGTTTTCCTTTTTGAGATCTTTTATCTGACTTCATCAGTTACAGCAAGTGGTCCAAAGCAGCCTCAGACCATCACACTACCACCACCATGTCTGACTGTTGGTGTTGATATTGCTGGTGTCCGATACGTTCTGTTGTAGTGACTTATTTATTCTACGGGTCTGGTGATGATCGGGACCACCTATGGCTGGCCAAACTGAACTCGGCTTTCTAAATACTGTGGTTGGTCACAGTTAATTCATGATTTACTGAATATGCCAGTTTTCTTTTCACATAGAGCCAGGTTGGTTTGGATATTTTTTCCTTAATAATAAGTTAAATCATACATTTGAAACTGGTTTTTGTATTCATCCTGCTTATCCTTATTTCCTTCTAAATTTTGTTAGCTGATCTGAAACATTTTAAAAAACAAAACAGAAGAAAAGTGCAAATCTGAATTTGTATTTGTCTTAATTTTTATATCTGCTGTTTTCATTTGGCTTTCAAACGTCGAAAATCTGGGTTTAAATGAAACAAACATTAAATTTTAGCTTATAACAGACATAAAAATTTGATTATGTCATTTTTCTTTAACAGCAGAGCGTAATCTATGCTATACATTTCTCCCTCTTTTCCTTCCTTTGATCTAATACGTCCTCACCCATGTTTTTTTTTCCTTTCCTTTCCTTTTTGTCTCTTGTCCTCCTGTGAATGTCTTTTTTGTCCCATGTCCCCTTCCTTACCCTTTTCTTCCGGCTTCTCTCTCTCTCTCCTTTAGCCATTCCTGGGCAGCAGTGACTGCGTCAATCAGATCTCTGGGAAGATCAAGCTGGGAAAAGAGGTTTTGGCCACTCTAGAGGGGCATTGGGTAGGACCTATTCCTCTCATTATTACACAACAATCTTGGCCTCACTTCTGTTCTTGTATCCTGGATGAGCCCCCATGTTGTTTTGTTCCCATTTAGCTCAGATGCTAACTTATTTGTGTGTGTGTTTTTTTAGAGGGTGGAGTTGCATTCATCTGACATTTAACCTTTTTTTCTTACAGGACAGTGAAATCTTCATCAATGACAAGAAGACTGGACAGGTGGACACCTTTTGGAACCCCACCCCGGAGCTGAGACAGGATCGGCTGATTCGCTGTACTGTCCCACCTGAGGAGCAGGGGGAGTTTGAGTCAGAAAGGTGATCCTCAGTTATTCTAAGTAAAGAACAAATGGCCCCTTTTATTCTGAAAGCAGCAGAAGCTTTTAAACACATTTTATCAGGTGTTTGATAGCCAATAAGGATACTAATTTTGACTTCTTGTTCTTTTCGCCAGACTGTGGCAGCATGTGACACGAGCCATCAACAACAAAGATCAGACCGAGGCCACCAATGAGAAGTTTGTTCTGGAGGAGGCTCAGAGGAAGGCAGCTCGCGAGCGCAAAGCCAAATGTGAGGACTGGGTGTCCGCCTTGTTCGAACAAGACCCCGTGACGGGAGAGTGGCACTACAGATATGCAGAGTAAGCATGATGTGCTGGTCCAGATGAAGGAAACTGGACTGTGAGCGTTGGTCAACTATTAAATAGGGTCAGGACTAAATCTACTGATGCTTTAATGCTCAACCGAGGAGCTTTATCAGTTCAAATGAAAAGTGTGGATTACTAAACTTTAGAAGTAACTTCTATAATACAACCTAGTTGCTGACCAATCCCTCGGTGCTGCCTCCTGAGGGTCGTTTGGGCCTTTGGTTGTTCCTGATAGAAATGCTTCAGTCACAAAGTGGGAATTGTTGTCTGTCTGGAGATCAGATTCAAAATGTTGTGCAATTTCTGGAGTATGTCCTATAAAAAATCTAATGGATAGAAGAAAACTTGATGGTAAAATTTACATTTTATAATGAATCTCTCATAGTTGCAATGACAGAAGTTGTGTTTTTGTCATTCCCAAAAAACATATTTACATATTAGATGTGACATTATTGGATTAAAAGTTGCACACAGACCGCCATCTACTGGTAGCTCCCTGTAACTGCAGAAATTTTGTCAAACAGTATTACACATAATCCATGAAGCTTTTTTGCAAATATCCAAATTAATCATTGACCAGGCCTGAGAATAGGATTTCTGTTTGTAAACAAGTCTTGTGAATATTTTAAGTTTCCTGTCTCCTCAGCACAAGGCCGTGGGATCCACTCAATGACCTGATCCAATTTGAGAAAGATGGCTGCATCCAGACCAAGGTCCGACACCGCACCCCTATGGTACGTTCTGGCAGTCTTATTAGTCTGAGTAACCAGGGCCAGCGGAGGGACAATTGCATTTGCCAGGTAGGTTGTTCCGACCAAAAGCCGTGCCTTAAAACCAATGCCGCCGCTTCAGCCATCTTCCACACATCACCTCATGCGCCGTCTCCATCGTCGCTTCCTTCCTTTGAGTCATCATCGTTGCTCTTTTTTTCTCCTTTCTGTTACCTTTTTTGTTCTGGCACTAGCTGTTCTCTCCCACTGGAATTGGGCTCTATGTCAGTCTGCATGATTTTGGTGGAGAACTTGGTGTTCATTCTAGAGTAGAAAACTCCACGTTTCACCCAATCATGTGTGTGAAATCAGCAGTAAATAGAGCCTAAATTATTTATCCTGTGCTATGAACGAGGGATATTCTGGTCCACATTTAATATCCGAGTTGATCAAGATTCCACGTGTCATTGGTGATTAAAGGCACAGAAACTATTAGAGATAATAATCTACTTGTTCTACTGATAATCCGACATCTTCTGTGCACGGTAAAAGTGAAACTGATGTGGAGGTTTTAATCTTACCTTTTGAGCGCTTGACTGGATACTTCTGAGGTGTAATAAGTCACTGTAGGTCTAAAGAGGTGAATTTACTGCTCGGAGTCCAGGAGAGAACAGCTTCAACGTTTCAGCCTTTTCACTGCCGCAAACCCTTCAGCTGCACCATGGCTTCCTCGCTCGTCATCTCTTCATTTCTGTGTTTTGTCTGCTAATGAACTCAGAACAGTCTTTTGTTCCTTCTGGAGCCATCAGTTGATTGTGTGTCTTTGCATGTGTCTCGCCCCACGAGTTGGCCTGAAAAGATGGTTTTGGTTCGTCAGCCCAAACCCCGCTACACAGCAGCTGTCTCGTTGAAAAAATTATTTAGTAATTATACTAAAGTAATACCTGAACCTATATTTGATGTGATTTAAAAGAAAAACTACATCTAACTATTAGAGTTGTCTACTCTCATTAACGGAAACAAAATTACAAATATTAAAATAAAATGAAAATTACATTAAATTAAATAAAACATTTGTCAACTTTCCTATAAAAAAGAAAGAAAACAAAACATTTTTAAATTAATATCATGTGTCTATAAATAATAACAAAAAGGTCTAAGGCAGGGGTGCCAAACATGCGGCCCGCGGGCCGGATCAGGCCCGCACACAGTTTAAATCCGGCCCGCGAGATGATTGTGTAGACCTTATTTTCAGACTTTACAATGTAAAGTCTGAAAATAAGCTTTCATTTTTCAGTTAAACTGCTGGTGAAAGCTAAATGATGTCAGGTATCAGGAGTTAAAGACAAGCGTGAAACTGATATAGCCATGTGATCTGTGACTCAGTTATTTGAATCACTGAGGAATAGTCTGGGTTTTTTGTTTTGTGTTTCACATTTTCAAATACACTTCAGGTGTTTTATTATTAATAGTGATGTTGTGCTTAAACTATTTTGGATACACTGTGCTCAGGCTCCAGTTTTGTCTTATGTTGATTCGTATTAAAACAAATAAAACAATCTGAAGCAGTTTTTAATTTATACATACTTAAATTTTACTGGTCTGGCCCATTTGGGACTAGATTTTCCTCAATGTGGCCCCTGAGCAAAACTGAGTTTGACACCCCTGGTCTAAGGTGAAGATGATAAAATTCTAAAAGTGCGAGGAGCCAGTGCCCACATATGTGGACACAGGGCCCTAGGAGGTTAAATTAAAGTATCTGTAGTATACAGCTGTGGCCAAAGCTTTAGAGAATGACTCCGGAGTTAATCATCCAGTTTGTCTGGTGGTATTTTACCAACTCCTGAAGAGCAATCAGATAAACTACTATTTATTTACAACGTCCCTCTTTGTCCTGGAAATGAATCAATCTCCCAAAAAGTTCTTTCAAAAAGGAATAAAAGAAGCATCTTGTCTCTAAAACACACATCAGGGACATACTGATACTCTGATTGGTAGCTGCGGTCTGGAGAAAGTCGTTTTCTTAGACTTTTTGGGGATTTGGGGAAAACAAGTGAGGAGAAGGAAAAAGTTCTCTCTCCCTTCAGTTCTGTTTCATGTCAGCGGTAAAAACAACCTCCATGAGGCACTCCTCCCAAACCTGAAAGAACAATTTGGTGATGAACAATGATTTTTCCAGCCCAATGGAGCACCGGGCCATCATCCAGAAGAGGTGGACAGAACAAGAACTCTCATATCTGGATAGACTCTAAACAATGATGTCCTGGAATCAGCCAGGATCAGTCCGAGGTTATCGACATCATACCAGGGCGAGCCGTAGAGGTCTAGAACAACAAGGACCAACTGCTCATGTTGACAATAAAACCTTTTAAAATGATGAAATACTTTGGATTAAAAGGTCCAAAACCCAGAAGCAGCTGCATTTGTGCCAACACTTGTGCCATTCTCTAGACTCTTGACCACATCTGGATATCAACACTATGAACTAAAATAAGCAGCTATATAAAGGACTCCCTCGTTTACTCCACTGAATAGTGAACAGCTCTTGGCAGGATGGCTCCTTTTGGACTAAATGTGTTTTCTTGTTGCCTTAGCTGACCAGAGTTTTATTCTTTGTTTTTTAATTAATGTTTTTGTTTAATTTAATTGGCCGTGCATGAAGCCTGCTAGTCCTGTTTATTGTTGCTTGTGTTCACGTGTGTGTGTGTGTGTGTGTGTGCGTGCGTGCGTGCGCGTGTGTGTGTGTTTCCAGCTCCAACAGGTGTCGGTGCCAAAGAGGAAACACAAGAGCGACAAGCCCAAGAGTCCAGAGAGCGGCTGTTCTTCTCCTGAACCCGACCACCAAGACTCATCCGGCAGTGAAAGTGAGCCACACTCCGTCCCACTCACACGTAAACACGGACCAGGCCACAGCTGCTTTCCCCTGCAGTCACTTGCTGCTGGTATTTGTGTTTGTTGGAAATGTTGCTGATCAGCAGCACCTCTGGAGGCAGCACAGGAGGCCTTAGACCTTCACACACAGCTTTTCACATCAGTGATGTTGTTGTATTTTGTTCCAGGACATAAAAGCAAACACAACAGTCGTCTGAGGAAAAAGGGAGCAGACCTCAGTGAACTTCAAAGTGCCATAGAATCAATAAAGCAGACGCAGGAGGAGATTAACAGGTGAGGAGGGCTGTTGACCACTCCGTGTTACTAGTACGTTGTGGTGACACACATGTTAACTGTTACATGTGATATCTGTGCGTCGTAGGACCGTCGTGACGCTGCGGAGCCGCACCGTCAGCCGAGCAGAGTCCAGCTCCTTCCTCCAGCAGCGGGACTTTGTCATCATTTTCCTCATTGTCCTTCAGGTCTTCATTAACTATGTTTTCAAGTAGCAGCCATGCTCGCTCTAACTCCCTCGCACACACACACACACACACACACACACACACACACACACGCGCGCGCGCCCTGAAGACTTTAAAAACACAAACTGTGACCTCCAGCTCCCTCTTCTGACCTTATTAAATCCACTCACTCGTGTCCTAAAAAGCAGAAGCTCCATGTGAAGAGACTCCTTTTGTTTTGTTTTTTTTTATATAAAATCGTATTTATTTGTAAGCAGCTCGTTCCAAATCTCCACGGAGATCCACAGCTTTCAAAGAACAGAGGAGCAGTAGCAGGACGTTGCTGGAGGGAAGGATTTGGTGTGAAGATCTCTCGACTGCCACTCGGGAGCTCATGAGTTTGCCTTGGTGTCTGAGGCAGAAACAGCAGGCATTTTTTAGCTGGGATGTTTTTGTGGTTTGTTTTCCTCTGATGGAGCGATGCTACTCTCTCCATTCACACTTCACCTCAGATGACAGGGAACTTTGTGACACCAGGAACACAACTCGGATTGTAAGGAACCTTTCATTTTCATGCTTTTAAAAAAGAAAAAAAGAACAAGTCGTTTGTCATTTCCGAGCGTCTCCTTTGTGACTACAGGTCTGTTTGGAACCAAAGGGAGAGAAAACAAGACTTTTATTTTTGTATGATCAGATTCGAAGATATCTGGATTCCACACGTCGGAATGAATGGAGGACACAAACTGGCGGCTGAAGCTCGATTTCCTGTTGTATAATAAAATTCCAGCTTCTGCTCACAAAGTCACCGTTAAGATGACGTGTTTGACACTGTGTGCTGTAGCTAGCGTGGGTAGAACCGTAGCGCTCTGTACAGATTCTCATTTGAAGGCATAAATGCGCTGAAACGAGGGTTTCTGTTGCTCGTGTATCGAATCAGCCTGTGGTTAGGATGAGGGTCCAAAAGTTGCTATTAACAAAATGTTTTATTTTGGTGAGATTGTTACTTTTCCTCCGGTTTAAAGATTAAAGTCAGAATATTTTGAGACTCCAGAACCCGACCCTTGGTTCCCGTATTTTGTTCTTGTTGTAAACAAAAAAAAAACCCACATCAAGATTCTATAGCAGAACTCAAATAAAATCCTTCAATCCTTCAAAATAAGAGTTTCAAACACACTTTATATACAAAATAATTCAGCAAAGATTGATTGATTGCATCTGTGAGCTAAAACAACTTATTTATCAGTAAAAGCTAATATTCCGGGAATATTTTGACTTTAATCTTAAAACTAGGAAGCATCTTGTTTTTCATGTCTAAGTGACCCGAATACACCCTCGTCCAAAGGGATAGTTCAGATCTATTTGGAGTGGGTTTAGGACTAGCCGTTAGCTCATCGATCCGATCAGAACTAGTTTGTTTCTCCAAGCTGAGGCTGTTCAAAGAGCTATCTGCTGAAGATAAGTTGTTGGTAGTTTCCTACTGTTTGACGAAGACGTCTGAACTATCCCTTAGCTAACCGTTTCTGTTTGATTGGATGTGTTTTATAATTATTTCTGCCCCAAGTGAGACGAAAACATGATTCAGCTCTCCGGAATCTCTCCACAGGCGTTCAAATCAAGCACTGCCGAACGGACAGCACAAAGTCCAAAAAACTAATTCTGGTCATAAGTAATCTTCAGCTATTACTATAAAAAATGGTTGAGAACTTCAGCCCTCCTTTACACTGCCTGACTTACAGTCACACCCAGAGCATCATCCACCTCCTGCAGTGCATTTCAGTCTCAAATCTGACCTATGTAGAGTAGAATAGACACTTCTTGTAAGAGTTTGTAGAAATGTAGTTATTTTCTAACTGTCATTCCAAATGTACACACGTACCAGCCAAACTGTGTGTAGAGTCGAAGTCGGCCCGGTTTGGTGCATTAGAGCTCATCCAGAGCAGCACACGGCACCTCAACACACTTCTACAAAATGAGTTGTTATCTGAACACTGATGTTGTCTTCGCCTTGTCGACGTTTACATATCCGTTTGCCTCCGCCGTCAGCAGACTGTTGAAAACTGTGTGATTACGATGCAGGTGTGAAGAAAAGGCAGGTCCGAGTGGTTCTGTACGTCCTCATTGCCTCAGCCGCTCATCTTATAGAAATACAGATGTTAGAATGTAGAGAATTAAGTTTAAACCAGTGCCTTGTAGAATCAGACCGGGGGAGGAGGAGACGGAGGAGGGAGAAGGTCAGGAGCGATGAAGGGGGTGGGGAGGGTGGACGGTGATCCAGGACTCTGTCTGTAGTTGACCTTTAGCATGGGCGTGCCATATGAAGCCTTAGAAACGACTCTGCAGGTCTCCACCCCGCCCAGCTCCTGCCTCCTGAAGCGTCGCCATAGTAACATGTTCCTGAATGCTGATTCCTGCCACGGGGAGAGAGAGAGAGAGCCTTCCTCTGCGCCGTCCTGGTCTCGCTCTCTCTTCATCTGAACACACCAAACCTAGAGGGAAGTGAATATCTCTGCTGTTCGCTGTCGTCTGTGAAGTGTTTTATTTATTCCTCTTTTGTACGTGGGTTTGTGTCCAACACGTCTGATCTTCAGCTCCTCGTTTTAGATCACTCCTCTGTCTTATTTAATGTTTTTTTTCATCATTGGTTTTAAATTCACACACACACACACACACACACACACACACACACACACACACACACTTGTTTTTACTCAACTGTTACTTGACATCATTCACAAGGGACTGCCACAAACTGGTGCACACACACAAACACACACACACACACAACCTGTATCCTGTTGAAATAACTGAATATACTAATAATTACTGTATCGCCATGACAACTTTAACTTCCTGTAAGTTTATGGTTCCATGTAACACAAAATAAAAAACTAAGGGTTTTCTGTGCCTCTTTGTATTTTGTACGAAGACGAAGTATAAAATGTGGTTTTAAAGAACAGAATTTCCGAGCCTCAGCACGACTGAAACCACGCTTTTATTCCCACTGACTTAACAAAAGTGATAGAAACTTACTTACCAGTCGATCAACATTCCAACCCTCACCTATGGTCTCGAGCTTTGGGTAGTGACCACTGCAAATTGTACATTTTTGTAACAAAGCATAACTGTCAATAGAGGGCAGTATAGAGCCATTACTGAATTAGTTTCTTTTGTGTGAGCCACAAACCTGTACCTACCTGTCCTTCTGTGACCTTCAGCAATGAGCTCATTACATTTACCTCCAACCTCACCTGACCCCTCTAACCTGGCATCATTTAAAGTTTCTAATGATAGAAACCCAACAGACAATCTTGCATCTAGGAGCGTTGCAGAACCAAACAGGCGTGTGATTCTAGATCAAACATGGTCATTTCTATAATGCAGAATTCACTTCAGACTTTACTGAACAGGAATAATAAATGATCACACAGTAGAAAGTTGTATAAATTATTGTTGATGTTGCTTAATGGAAGTGGTGTGATTGTGTCAGTGTTCTTAGCAAAGCTCATTTACACTTCTGTGACAGGACCTGACAGCTGGCTGCTTTCATTAAGGCGGCAACAGGTGTGGTAAACAGCTTTAATGTGCTAAAACAACAAATGTTGAAATAAAAATCATTTAACTACAGGGAGTGCATAATTATTAGGCAAGTTGTATTTTTGAGGAATAATTTTATTACTGAACAACAACCATGTTCTCAATGAACCCAAAAAACTCATTAATATCAAAGCTGAAAGTTTTTGGAAGTTGTTTAGTTTGTAGTTTTAGCTATTTTAGGGGGATATCTGTGTGTGCAGGTGACTATTACTGTGCATAATTATTAGGCAACTTAACAAAAAACAAATATATACCCATTTCAATTATTTATTTTTACCAGTGAAACCAATATAACATCTCCACATTCACAAATATACATTTCTGACATTCAAAAACAATACAAAAACAAATCAGCGACCAATATAGCCACATTTCTTTGCGAGGACACTCAAAAGCCTGCCATCCATGGATTCTGTCAGTGTTTTGATCTGTTCACCATCAACATTGCGTGCAGCAGCAACCACAGCCTCCCAGACACTGTTCAGAGAGGTGTACTGTTTTCCCTCCTTGTAAATCTCACATTTGATGATGGACCACAGGTTCTCAATGGAGTTCAGATCAGGTGAACAAGGAGGCTATGTCATTAGTTTTTCTTCTTTTATACCCTTTCTTGCCAGCCACGCTGTGGAGTACTTGGACGCGTGTGATGGAGCATTGTCCTGCAGGAAAATCATGTTTTTCTTGAAGGATGCAGACTTCTTCCTGTACCACTGCTTGAAGAAGGTGTCTTCCAGGAACTGGCAGTAGGACTGGGAGTTGAGCTTGACTCCATCCTCAATCCAAAAAGGCCCCACAAGCTCATCTTTGATGATACCAGCCCAAACCAGTACTCCACCTCCCCCTTGCTGGCGTCTGAGTCGGACTGGAGCTCTCTGCCCTTTACCAATCCAGCCACGGGCCCATCCATCTGGCCCATTAAGACTCACTCTCATTTCATCAGTCCATAAAACCTTAGAAAAATCAGTCTTGAGATATTTCTTGGCCCAGTCTTGACGTTTCAGCTTGTGTGTCTTGTTCAGTGGTGGTCATCTTTCAGCCTTTCTTACCTTGGCCATGTCTCTGAGTATTGCACACCTTGTGCTTTTGGGCACTCCAGTGATGTTGCAGCTCTGAAATATGGCCAAACTGGTGGCAAGTGGCATCTTGGCAGCTGCACGCTTGACTTTTCTCAGTTCATGGGCAGTTATTTTGCGCCTTGGTTTGTCCACACGCTTCTTGCTACCCTGTTGACTATTTTGAATGAAACGCTTGATTGTTTGATGATCACGCTTCAGAGGCTTTGCAATTTTAAGACTGCTGCATCCCTCTGCAAGATATCTCACTATTTTTGACTTTTCTGAGCCTGTCAAGTCCTTCTTTTGACCCATTTTGCCAAAGGAAAGGAAGTTGCCTAATAATTATGCACACCTGATATAGGGTGTTGATGTCATTAGACCACACCCCTTCTCATTACACAGATGCACATCACCTAATATGCTTAATTGGTAGTAGGCTTTCGAGCCTATACAGCTTGGAGTAAGACAACATGCATGAAGAGGATGATGTGGACAAAATACTCATTTGCCTAATAATTCTGCACTCCCTGTAGTTTAATGGGGGGTGGGGAGAGGGTTCTCGAAAAATTTGGTTTCTCAAATTTGTTGCAAGTGTATTGGATGCATATTGATTTATTATTTTTGATTATCTGTCACTGTGAGGTTTTCATGCTGGCTGAACATGAAAATAGTCTTTTACACCTATCTCCTGCATTAGCTTCTAATAGAAAATAGACGGTGAAACTCTAGGACATGAAAACCCTGACAGATCTTTGTCACAATGCCAATTTCATGGACTCGCCCAGCTTGACTCACGACGGGAAAGACTGTTGTTGTTTTAGGGCAGCAGTAGCTCAACAGGGTGAGTGGTTTGTCCAGGAATCGGAAGGTTGCAGGTTCGATCCCGGCTCCAGACAGAAAATTCTGCTGTTGTGTCCTTGGGCAAGACACTTAACCCACCTTGCCTGCTGGTGGTGGTCAGAGGGACCGGTGGCGCCTGTGCTCGGCAGCCTCGCCTCTGTCAGTGCTCCCCAGGGCAGCTGTGGCTACACCGTGTGAATGTGTGTGTGAATGGATGAATGATACACTGTGGTGTAAAGCGCTTTGGAGTCCTTACTCTGAGAGGCGCTAAACAAGTGTGGGTCATTTATCATTTAACATCCAGGAAACCTCAGAGAATGTCCTAACTAGTAGAAGCTAACTGTTAGCATTGGCAACTCCACCACACAGCAGAACTCCTCCAAGCTTGTGGTTTTTGTGGAGATAAAACATCAATGTTGTAGCACAAACGGAGTCAGTGGTAGAGTCGCATTGCTGTTAGCTAATCAACTTGGAGTGCCACCCTAACAATTTCCCTGACTCCTGAGCCCCCCATGAAAGTTTTCTAGGGGCGCCCCTGGGTACTGAACAGACTTTTCTGTAGTCTCAATTTCTCCAAGATAAAAACACATTCAGATCACGAGCTCCAAAACTACACAGTTATGTAACCTAAGTTATTATTAACTATCATTAAGCTTGTTATTCAGGCTAATGCCTCTTCAACAGGATCATGCTTTCCTCCAAACACGCATGTTTTCTGCCGTTTAATGCAGGATCTTAGTACCACAGGTTGTAATGCCAACTGTACTTTATTTTTTAGGAGATTTTTCCTCTATTATAACTGCGCAGAGCTGAAAAAGCTGAATAATAATAATAATAATAATAATATCTGTTTCAAAGCCTATTTAGATACTTTTTAATTGTTAGATGAAATAATGTGAACTTTTTAAGAAGACAGATTTTAACAGAAGCTATTCGGCTCAAAGGGTGAAACTTATTTATTTAATTAGACAGTATGACTGAGGTTTGGTTTATAGCTTCTGCAGTGAAATAAAAGTGAAAGTGAGAATAACGAGGTGGTTCCCTTTCCTGTGCCATCTTATTCAGTAGGCTGTTCGAATAAAGGAAAGCTGAAAAGCTGATGTTTGAACCACTCACAGTGAGCCAGAGCACCCCTGGCTTACCATAACTTTTGTCAAGGACATTGACAAAATGTCCTCTCTGTCCCTCTCAGGTAACAACTACACATCTGATACCAGTCCCTTCCCTCGCCATGCTCTTGATTCATAGCCAGGGGCTTCTTGGTGCAGTTTGGAGCAGGAAGGCGAGCGTCGGTCTAAAGCTCCTGACGGATGGGAGAGATGATCAGAGGGGCTGAGTTTTTCCCACCTTCTCTTGGACAGGGACTGAAGTACGGGTAGAGTTTCTCTGTAAACTTACAGCCAGTGAAGGTGTAAATGGGGAGTGCAGCATCTGCATCGTAGAAGCAAACCAGACCTACATCATAATCCACAAACACCCCCACCTTCTGGGGCTTCAACGTCACAAACAGAGGAACCGACGGGCCACAGAGGGCTCTGTAGAGCCCGTTTCTCAACCACACAGCCCAGTAACCGTTCTCAGGACAAATGGTGTTCTCGCCCTTCCTGCTGATGGAGCCCCGGACCACTCCTAGTTCCCACTTAGTTTTCCCTTCGACCTGAACTTCATAGTAAAACCTCCCAGAAGAGAAGCTCTGCTCCCCCAGAATGCCAAGGAAGGACAATCTCTCTGGGGTGTCTGGGAGATCCTGTTCAACATCTCCACAGCCGACTATTTTCCCGTCATCAGACACGTGGAGATATGGATTAGCTGTAGCTCGATCCAGAGTCACATCCACAGCGTGCAGCCGCATCCAAGACAGTTCCACATCTGCACTCAGCTTCTTCATCTGTTTACTGAGTGTCTCCAGCTCCACTGCAGTTTTCCTCACGGTCCCATCACAGGAGGAGGCAACACGGACATCTGTCCAGTCAGTGCTGACCTTCAACGATGGGAAGTTTTGTAGGAGCAACAAGTGGTTCTCCGTTTGTGAGAGCTGCTTGAACTGATCGCTCATCGCCACCAGCTCAGAGATCTCCTCTTCCAGCTTCGTAAGACAACCTTCAGCCTGCTCCTCGGTCATCTTCTGCTTCTGCTCAACCACCTCAAGGAGCTGATTCCGAATCTTCTGAGAGGATTTGATCAAAGCGGCACATCTTTTGATGACGACTGCGGTCATTTGCTCTGATTCCTCCTTACTGAGCTTCACCGACTGTTTGATCTGCTCCATCTTTAGGAGTCTCTCCTGGATCATCTGCTGAAGCTGAGCTCCTGTTCTCTCCAGATCTTTCTTCTTCCCTTTGTACTCTTGGATCAGAGGGACAACATGATGTTTCTTGTGACTGGACGCAGCACAGGTCTGACACATGAACATCTTATCCATCTTACAGAACATCTCCAGAGGTTTCCCATGCCTCTCACACACCACCTCCTCCAGGTTCTGCCCTGGCTGGGTCAGTTTGTGACTCCTCAGGCATGTGATTCTCTTATGAGGCTCCAGGTGAGTCTCACAGTAGGAGGTCAGACAGTCCCAACAGGACTTCACTGCCTTCTTTCTTCTCTCAGTGCAGACATCACACAGGACTTGGTCTGGGACCACTAATGTTCTCCTTGAGTAGCTCCTGGCTTCGCTTTGAGCTGAAGACCTGAAACTTGCAGCCGCCTCAGACATGGAGGTGTTGATCCTCAGTGCTGGTCTGATGGCAAACAGCTCCTTACACGTGGGACACTGCTGCTGATCGCTAATCCAGCGCTTTGTGATGCAGGACTTGCAGAAATTGTGTCCACATGGGATGGTAACTGGATCAGTGAAGATATCTAGACAGATGGAGCACAGAAACGGGTCCTCAGACTCAGAACACCAGGCTGTTGCCATGACCTCCCAATAAAGCGCAGCTCCACAAATACACCTACACACAGAAAAAGTTGGAGTCTGGATTCGATTTGATTTCCTCACCGTTTTTGAGCTTTGAGTCAGCAGGATGTGTCTGTTACATCACAGAGCCACCGAGACTTATCCTAAGGAATGTGATAACAGCTTTGTTTATCTATCAGAGCTCCACCCCTGCATATTTCCCCTCCTGCAGGACTGCGGTGTCTTATAACAGGTTATGTGTTTATTTAACCTGGTAAAATGTGGAATGAGGAATTCTGCAATGGCATGAATTCAACGGGATGTAGCTCTGCTAACACCTGTCTGGCTTCAGCTAAGAGGTCACAGAGAACTGGTTCTGTTGGCATGGGTCTCTCTCTCTCTCTCTCTCTCTCTTTCTCTCTCTCTCTCTCTCTCTCTCTCTCTCTCTCTCTCTCTCTCTCTCTCTCTCTCTGAGGGGGTTCAGCTTCTCAAGGATGCAAGTGAGGACATGTCCTGTCCTCCTGGTTCTCTATGCAGTCTCACAGCCATGTTGTAAACGTCCATCCAGAAACTCATTTTTGATCAGGATTTGAACTAATAACATGAACAAATGCTCACACATCCTCACACATACATACATACATCCCATTTACAGCACTGAGTGTGCTAATGGATCATGTGACTCTCTCAGATGACATCATTTTTGGACTCTTAACCATCGGCAATGAACTGGTGCAAAAGAAGCTACCTTCAGATGAAGACCAGCAGGAACAAGCTTTGATTCTAAGGCAACCGGTAAACTGGACTAGCTTCACATGACAAGAATTTTGTATTTTCTGCAAATTTTTGAAACAAAAGACCACACACACACGTGAAAAAAAATCATGAGAATACAGTTTTGGTCCAACAAGGTGTGCTGTGCAGCAACTCAGCCAAAACTACACACAAAACCATTTCTCTGATAAAATTCCTCCTTCAGACAGGAAATCTTGCTAGATAAAATGTGACTTTGAAGTAAACAAACAAGGAGGAGCAGGAGACATCTTTTCATCACCCCACTTTCTGATTTGTTGAAGTTAAAGTCCTATTAGTCATCACACACTGGTGAAATTCATCTCCACATCTGACCCATCCCCATCCCTATGGGGAGCTGTGAGCTGCACTCAGGAATTTTTTGGCACCAACCCCTTTAAAGCAGAGAGTCAAGCAGGGATGCATTCATTTCTTAAGTCTTTGGCTTGACCCGACCGAGATTTAGGGTGGTGGTGGTGGGGGGGGGGGGGGGGGGGGGGATGTCTTACATTGATCAAAATGTCCGGTTTTTCATCCAGGAGCAGGGATCGAGTTATGGGGGGGTAGATAGCTGTCAGGGAAAGATCGAGTTTCTACCTGTATTACAATATTTCTCAGCGTAGGGGGATTCTGTTGAGCGGAGAGGACGCAGACCGCTGATCGTTGGTGCGCCCGCTGCATCCGGCACACGAAACATTCTCAAGGTGGCGCAACAAAACCTTATTATTAACACATGATAATTCATATCTGTTTAAATCCCCTGGTACTGTTTTTAATCATTCCTGATGCGCTCGGCTCATCGTGTGCTGCAGTGATTTCACCTCACTGATGCAGCATCGAAAAGCGCACTCTGCTTTGCGGTCAGGAGATCCCTTTGATCTGCGTAGTTCAAAAGTAACTGATGAGATGAAAAAGTAAGAATCCAGGCAGCAGTTTTTCTGGAGAGTTTAGAGGAGATGCAGGAAGATGAGAGACAGACGGGACAGGAAAATAGTTCAATAAAAACAAGAAAACTAAACAAAGTGTTGAAAAGTAAAATGCAGGTAGATTTATCTCCACTACACATTTTTACCTGTATAAAACAATAAGTTACACACATGTAATATTTATACATTTAATACAATTCAGATCACCTTCAAAATTTAGACACATCCATGGCCGTTTCAAGGCATTCTGGGGGCCAAGGCAAAACAGAACACCCCCCACCCCTATAACTGGGCTCCCCAGAAGCCTCTGTGTAATTCCTACCCTGTTCAGGAGTGTTAGTTATACAGTTTTTATTTATAAAAAAAACAAACTCCTCAGAAATTACTGACGCGTTCTAATATTGTCCAACAAAAAACAAAATTGTCTGACATGCCGTCTCATCTGCTTCTTTTCTAAACTCACAAAAATCTGTCAGTAACAAAACCATTTGAAAGCCACTATTTGTGGATTCTCTGAAAGTTTCCATGGAGTCCATGACAAACGTTTTTTTCATTGATCCTATCGTCTAATCTCACAGCTGAAACAAGCTTCCTTAATAATCTGTGCACAGGAAGCTTACCGATGCAGTAAAACAAAAGGTATAACAATTTCTTATTAATATAACGTTGTTGCAGCAATAAAGCGGCAGAAAAGTTAGATTTTGCAATAAATATGCAATATATTTACATATGAATTGTTTTAGAGCCATTTTGTTGGCAGAATCTGATATTAATTTTAGCTCTTCACCCGTGGAAAAAATGGGTCGTAACGTGGTTTGTGTGGCGTTGCCATAGTGTGACGTCATCGGCACAAATCTCCTGTCCTCTTTTTTGGAAATGGAAATATGGTCACCCTAGATTTAGCAGCATAGCTGCTGTGAAACATCTCACCACTCACCACCAGTGGCTGTCAGTTAGCTCCTGCTCCAACAACGTTCAAATGTAAACAGTTTAGATGGAGGAAGATGAGCAGTGAGCCTCCCCGGATGTGTGTGTTATGTCACCTGAACCCTGTTTTTAGGCTTAAATGGGTTAACACACAAATAATGAGGTAATCTGCAGTGTTTGCAGTGTTGGCGAGGCTTGCTGGATGCTGGCTCAGCGCTGTGTTTATCCCCCCTGCGGTATCGACACAGTAGAAAGGAACTGCTGCAGCAAGCCGCTCTCATTCACAGCCGGATTAGTGGAACGATTAGCTGTTATTTGACTGTCTCCCTTTTTAACCATGACTGTCCCAACATCACGGACATGAACATGTGTATTCCGCCGACCTCCAGAGCGGGGCTGTCCAGGGGACTGGCATTGGTTTTCTCCTCCACTTCTGGGCTAAAGGAAGAACAAAATGTTACATTTTACAAAATAAAATAATAACTCTTTACTTAATTTGAGTTGACTGAAGCCCCGAGCTGGAACAGAGACACCCTGCCTCTGTCCCTCTCTCTCCCGTCATTTGAATGCATGCCTGATATGATGACTTTTTCCCTCTTGTCCAGGATGGCACAGCTACAGCTATATTTAGAAGGAGGGATTGCTGTGGGGAATCCCTACAAGTGCAGCTGCTCTCTGTCTCTGCCTCTTCTCTGTGAAGAGGAAACATACCGACATGCAAATATTAAAGACAACAACATATTCACAATGTTTATTCCCCTTTAGTGGTTTGTTTCAAGCCTTCAAAGTGAAAAAGATTGTGGCCATAACAAAGAAAATGACTCTGCATCCATCACTCCTCTTTTTTCCCCCAACAAACCCCTGATCCTGCCTCTGGTTTCCTTCGTTTAGCTGATCTGTGCTAAAGTTGTCCTGAATGAGACCAACAACAGCAGCGCGGCCCTCTCAGATTTCACCTCCACAGCTTTTCATCAAAAGTGGACCAGCACATTCTTTTCTCAGCTTGAGGATCTTTGATCTGATAGATTCACAGAAGAAGACCTTTTTGGAGAGCTGTGTGTTTATTGGTCATCAAATTCAACCAGTTGATGACTTGACGTTCCTTGTGTGTGCCACACGTCTGAAGCCCTAATCTGTTGGTCCACCTCTCGCCACATTACTGTCACCCATTAACAAGACACCAAATAATGCAAGTTACAAACACCCTGAACACATATTTGATACTTCTGGTAGTTTGCAACTGAGAAAACATAATGCAGAACATTTTTTAAAAGAAAATGCTGTAATTGGTTTTCTAGCAAAGCAACACTTCTGTACACTTTGAAGCTGTATCAGTAGTGATGAACATCTGAATTGACTTGTGTTGAACCTACCTACTAACCCAGACCCATAAGAACGGGTCAAAGCATCTCTGTTTTCCTCTATTGCTCAAATGTAAAACTGAAATATGTGTTTGAAGGTAATCAGTTGAATCGCAGAGGTCTTCATTGGCATTAAAATAACTTAATCAGCCAACAAACAGTTCCACTGAAGTCTAGTACCAAAACTGTCTAAGATGATTCATAAAGAAAGGGACCGAATCATCCTCCGAGAGGAATTCATTTGATGATGAAAAATGCTTTCATCAGAGTAAAGGCTAGAGTCTGAACTAAAGCCCTGAGCCAAGGTCCAAAATTTACCTCATGTTAACCTGAGTGAGTCAGTCCTAAAAAGGCAGGTGGACAAACAAAAACTACCCAATTCTGACAACCTTCATAACGAGCTACCATGAGTTTGGGTTTGGACCAGAAGTTGACTGATAGCATGTCAGGGTGAATTGCAGAGATCTAGAAAAACAAGGCCAGCACAACAAAAATGGACTCTTTGCATAAACTTAATGTAATTGTCAGTAAAAGTCTTTGGAATTGATGAAGTGCTTTAAGTTATACATATGTAACCATGAAAACATCTGAGAAAATAAAGAAGCATCAAACTTTGTGAAAACCATTTACTGTGTCCTTCTGTAACCCCTTGGTTTTCAAACTGTTGGTACTCGAAATTCTTTTAATCCTAATCAGATTAAATGGTGATGTCGACTATTTACAGGTTTAACCAGCTCATTTAAGGTAAATGAATCAAGCTAATTGCAATCTTGACTGAATGAACATTTCTTCTTCAAAGTTCACTAGAGAATATTTTGGAACACTCATGAAAACTGACTCTGCTGATGGCATCGACCATTGATGCAAGCATAGGACACGTTAGCAGCAAACTAAACTTGATTCAAGTTATCTCAAACTTGCATTCAGCTGTAGTGCAGAAGAAGAGTAGAGACTGCTGTGTGTGTGTGTGTGTGTGTGTGTGTGTGTGTGTGTGTGTGTGTGTGTGTGTGTGTGTGTGTGTGTGTGTGTGTGTGTGTGTGTGTGTGTGTGTGTGTGTGTGTGTGTGTGTGTGTGTGTGTGTGTGTTGCTGTTTGAGCAATTCAAGCATGCAGTGTTAAAAGGGAGTTTTTCTC